GATTTGTAAAAAGGTATGTTTTTATCACATATACCCCTGTGGTTATTTGCTTTTTACAAACCACATAAGCATATGTGATAAAAAAATCACAAGGGCATAGGTAAATTCTAAAGCAAACAACAGTAAGGACATTGGTGAACTTTTCTCTTTTTATAATTTGTCTTATTTTGTATTTCTATTTATTTTATCCGTGTTTAATCTTGAATTCGTGTTTCTAGACTAGCACAATTCCAGCTATACTAGATCAAAAAAGAGTTTTTTATAAAAAAAATATTCACACAAGAGTTTATTGGGTTTGAAGAATAAATAATATATGATCTTAATCCATACTAAGCAGAATGAAGGGTCTAGTCCAATAATAGCACAAGAGACTCAATAATAAAGACTGAAGAAGTAAAGAAGTGTATATATCCTGTATACAGGTAATTATGCATACACACAACATGGATTAATAACAGCACAGAGCTCATAAGCCTCTTATAGAGCCAATGATTGAAGGACATGCTCACATGCACAAGGCTCCAACTATGCTTATACATCATAGCTCACAAATAGACATTATGCAAAGGATAGTTTGACAAAACTAATTCAATCCACAAGAATGTCGCCATACTAAGATGGCACAAGCAGGTCATGCAGCTACTATATGAGAAAGACTCAAACCCAGATATGATCATCTTCTTCAATATTACTTATGTTCATTCATTCAAATATTGATTTGAGCATCAGAGTGTCTTGTAAGTACCTCACTTCATTTGTCCCAGAAAAGCAAAGCTCTACAACACCACTACAATCATCCCATGGAATCATCCCGCAACATAGTCCAATAGATCCCATTGCAACCTCTCTTTCAGCATTACTTGGACCAAATTTAACTGTGTGTGGCAAGCCTAATTACTCTTGGATTGATCAATGCACAAGCGGTTTTTTGACCATTATAGCCTTTTTTAATAATTAATTACCAAATTGACCCTATTTATAAACTATTTCAAAAATTTAACCTCTCCAGAAAACATAACACCAATCTGCCCCTGTTTGACCGTTGACCATGAAGCCTACCCGGGTACACCCCTACCTACCCGGGTATATTTTGAAATTTTTTACCTACCCGGGTATATTTCTTGAATCTGAAAAAATGTTTGAATTATTTACCCGGGTACAGAGGGGTGTACCCGGGTAAATAACAAAATCTCAGAACTTCGTTGCTCAATCCATATAAGTTCGCTATGAGAACACCTTTAGAATTGTTTTGACATGCAGACGGTTGCTTTTACTAAAGCTGTGCTTAATTTTCCTTTCTGTGCAGGTACTCTATCACAAAGGCATTTTGCATTGCATTTGTGATGACTTTCTTTAGTGGGTTTGATGTTCCAGTGTTCTGGCCAATACTTCTCTTCTACTGTGTAGTACTATTCACGCTTACTATGAGGAGACAGATATCACACATGATCAAATACAAATATGAATAATTAATTGCATAGAAGAGTCTTTTTTTTTGTGGTGATGATTGTGGTTTAAATTTAATGTATGGCAGTGGTATGGCCGAGAGGTTTGAGTGAAGAGAGAAAGCATGGGGAGGAGTAAGGTTAGGCAGGGGAGGAGATTGCAGAAGATAATGAAGTGCTTGTGTTCGGGGGAGCAGTTAAGAGCAGTAGATGAAATGGTTCCTTGTTCGGAATCTGTTGCATCGAAGGATTATTATTTGGCAAATTCTGGCTGTGATGGACAAGTTGTGAGGAGGAGTGGTTGTGCTTGAAGTGGCTTGTAAGATATGCTTTTTGGGATCGAGATTTACCCAGGTACACCCCTTCCTACCCGGGTAAATAATTCAAGCAATTTTCCAGATGTCAAGAAATATATCCGGGTACACCCTTCCCTACCCGGGTAGGCATGAATTTTCAAAAAATACCCGGGTAGGGAGGGGTGTACCCGGGTAGGCTTGGTGGTCAACGGTCAAACAGGGGCAGATTGGTTTTATGTTTTGTTGGGAGGTTAAATTTTTGAAATAGTTTATAATGAAGGTCAATTTGGTAATTAATTATTAATAAAGGGTTATAAGGGTCAAAAAGCCATGCACAAGCCCTTCCACATGTATTAGTTAATTTATTAGAATAATGGGAATGATGAGGATTAAACTTTTGATTACTTGATCTTAAGCTTTGATATCATATAATGCCACTAATTTCACAGCTTAAATTAATAAGTGATATTTACAAAAGTATTTACTCTTAAACCTCTTTTTCTATGTGATTTTTTTATAAGTTAACACAACTGTAATTATTTTTTTGATGCGAGTTGGCTCCTCTAGTATTTTCATAAATTTTAATTCTTTGAACCAATTATTGAACTATTTCATAGTACAAAATGAGTCAAGAATGAAGATATTTAAATTTAGGGATCGACTTACTGAACTATCTTGTTACCAAATAAGCTACTATCATTTCGTATTCTATGTGAACTTTGTTAGAGGCTTTTAATGTAATGTTTCGGGCTTTAATCGCATACTATATTCATATACGTTAAGCTCTGGGGAGTAGTCAGAATTGGTTTGCAGGTTTTCAGCCACCAATTCAGGAAACAAATCAGGCCGTTGCATTATACATTTATAATGCAAAATCATAATTGCGAAAATAAGTTTCACCCCATGACAGATTGCAAAGTAGGTGGAACCACAGTTATTAAATTTCTCATCCCTATATGTTTAATTTTTTACTCTGAACTACTGATAACAGGTTAAATGTATAATTGGGTGCTAAGACGCAATCCAATGCTCGTCTACACATACCTACAAGTAGAGCTGGCAAAACAGGCTCCGTTCGGCGGGCCAACCCGCTCCATCGGCTAAACGGAGCGAGGTAGGCTGAGTTTTTCAACCCATCTCAAAAGTAGGGTGGACTCATTTTTTGGCGGGCCGAGACGGGTCAGTGTAAAATAAGTTCGGGTTGACGGGCCAACCCGTCAAACGGAGCGGGACGAGTTGACTCATTTTTTGACGGGCTGATGGCGAGGTGGGGCCCCGGGCCCCCCACTTTGCCACCTCTACCTACAAGGAAAGAAAATCAATGTTTGCCACAAATTATATTTTTCAAAAAGAGGAAGGATGAATTTAATTTATAATGTTGTCTTTCTTTCTTTATTATTCGTTGATTCCATTTAAATTTAATGGGTTTTTTTGTGTAAAAGAATCTAATGTTTTTAATCTATCAGTCATTTGAGTTGTTAAATATTAATAATTGAGATTAAATATAAAATTTATCATTCTTATTCCAATACCTAAGGTAATCATCTCCTTTACAAATAATTATTTTACTTGAGAATGCGTTACAAATTTAGTTGATTGACCAGAGTAATTTAATTATTATTTTTTAAAAATAAAGTAGTACAGCTTAAAAAAATTATTTATTAAATAACATAATTTAATTATTTTTATTATTTTTTTATCACGTAGACCCCATAATATAACATGTGTCATGTTTATGAGATTGACGCGATCAAAAGTGGTTAACTTATATCACTTTGATAAAGACTTTTAAAACTATAATTTTAGTAGTTTTTTTAAACTAAATCACTTTCGTCAATTAGTCCTTGTAATACTCATATTGTTTTGCTTTCACGAATAAAAACTATATTATAACTGTTAAGCAGATCTTGCTTATATAAGGCTGAGAGCCAATAGAAATCTAATTTACGAGAAAATAAGAGTCACCGACATAATGATCTGTAGCACTAGTCCCAAAACTCAAGAGCTTGTTTGACACATCGTTTTTTAGCTAAAAGGTATTTAGTAATTATATAAAATTGTTCTTAGCGTTTTGAAGGGGAGTGATGAAATGATTTGTTATTAGGGATATTAGGATAAAGGAAAAAATTTGTAAATACAAATTTAAAATAAGGGTAAAAATAAAAAATAAATATAAATACTATAAAAAATTAACATACGTCTTAAAAAAAGGTCCTCTTGATAGTTTTCAATATTTTTTATTCATTATAAAAAAAATCTTAATATGATAAAAACTTTTGTAAAATTATATAAAATATAAAGCCCGTGTGCACTCGATACATTACTCCTTACAATTTCATGCACGATGATAATATCGCTAATGCGCGTAAATAATTCCATACAATATTAATTCAACATAGGTTCACAGAATTCGACCACACAATATTCACAATTAACTTTTACTTTTAAGTTGAAGATAAGCATATAAAAAAAATGCTAAAGAAGTACAATGGTTAAAAGGGACAGTAGAATATAAAAAGTCCTTAGTTTCATACTACTTAATTAATTTAATTTTTTTATTTTATTTGTATGACATACAGTCATGGGCACTGGGGTCCATGACCACGAGCCCACTACTTCTAAATTTCCATTTGAAGTATTTGACATAAGAATTATACATAGAAAACGTATGCATGTTTTAGAAATATGGCCTTATTAGTGCAACTCGTCACATGACCCACAACTTTATTGCATGTTCTATTTCATCCCATATGATTTCTGTTATATTAATCTAAAAATAAAATTGAATTTACATCAAATCAATAAAAAATAATTGAAGTTACACCAAGGGGTGTTTGGTATAGGAAAAAAAAAAATTTGTCCGGGAATCTCGATCTTTAAAAATATGATTTTTACATTCAGTTTACGATAATATCTGAAATTTAAAATTTTAAAAATTTTAATTTCCCAAGAATCTGGAAAAAATCCGTGTACCAAACGAACTCTAAAGGTATCATAATTTGTAAAGTTTTTTTTTGTTTTGTTTTTTTCCTTCTCAAAATGCATCTAAATTTGTACCGTGAAACTTAGTACGGCATAAGGGTATCCTTTACTTGGCACCCATAGATCGAGGTAATCAATGATAAAGACTGAAAACAACAGAGATACATCACATGGCTTTCATAAAAATCGATAAGGACTGATTAAGAATAGCAGTACTTTTTTTGCTTTTTCCCTTTACCTTAATTAAATAACTTATTAGCCATAAGGAGGAAGACCGTTATCCAAGTGTGCATGGTAAGCAGTGTTCCACTAATGGAAAGTTTTGGTATTCTTCAAAGGAATCATTAATTGGACCTTCTTCCATAGCAGTGGCACTGTTAACCAGTTCTGGAACACTCTCACGTCTTGTAGCTCTAAATGCTTCCACCGCCAGCATAATGTTATCGTCTTGCAAGTTTGACACATTATAAGTTTCTATGATGTTATTATTACCATCACACTCATTTGAGAGTGAGCTTTCTGTGAATTTCCCAATATTGGTTGAAACAGGAAGCTTCTTACCGGGGAAGCTCAAAGTGGATACTGGCGATTGTAGGTCATCTGTGGCAAGCATGATGGCATACATGTTATTCATTTTGTTGTTGTTGTTGTTATTTGTGGTTGATGGTGACTCTGATGACTGTGAACTTTGCCATGCTTTGATTACATCTAGACATGGTGATGGCGGTGGTGGTGGTAATATTTTGCTTAAGATTAACCGAGTTTGATGGGAGGAGCAGGTTCCAACTTGCAACATGGATTCTCTTGCTTCAGCTTCGAGTCTTACACTCTCCCACTGTGCCATGTGGCTCGTATTGGTGTTGGTTATTGGTTTGTGAGTAATGGGGTCTATGCCCATTCTCATAAGCTTTTTCTTGATATGTGTGTTCCAATAGTTCTTGATTTCATTGTCTGTTCTCTTGGGCAAGTGAGCTGCTATCAATGACCATCTGTGCAATATACATATAAAATATGGCAACTTAATTAGTTATACTAAGAATGAATAATCTCAAGAAATGGAAACAAGTGTTATAATTATAGTACAACCATAAACCAATGTTTTAATAGCAAATTTGTAGATAACAAATATGAAAAATGTTGTCTCGAAATCTATGGCAATGGTTAACCAGTACTTATAAATAAAAAAATATGAAGAATATAGCCAACAACAATTTGTTTAAGGCTCTCGATCGAGTTTGAACATTGAGAACGGAGAAAATAATATTAGAGACCCTCCCTAATATAAATTTGACAGTATTGATTAAACTAGATTGAATATAAAAAAAATGTGAAGAATAATAGCTCCAAGACAAGGAAAGCTCACTTGTTTCCAAGAAGAGCATGGAGTTGTATAATAGTGCGGTTTTCTTCCAAGCTGAAGCTTCCTCGTTTTATGTCAGGTTTGAGATAGTTAATCCATCTCAGTCGGCAACTCTTTGCACATCTTTGAAGATCTATATTAATATATACATAAATGTAAACGGGAAACTCAAGATTCCATGTTTAAAATATATATATAAACTCAAGATTCCATGTTTAATATATATATATATATATATATATATATCATAAGAAAGATGGTTTATGAATATAAAAGAGTCATGAGTATATATATATTACCAGCTTTGGTGGCCAACGAACGCCAGTTTCCATGGCCATGTTCTTGAACATAAGCCATGAGCTTCTTGTCTTCTTCCAGAGTCCATGGTCCTTTTTTCAACCCTACCTTCTCACAGCGTGGCGTCCTACACATTTCCCAAGACAAACTGATACCTGAATCAGACCTCGTGCTTGTTCTTAGGCAGCAACAGTCCAACAGTGACCATATATATAGAGAGAGGATGAATATGAACTCGTAAACTTTCCGTTTCAAATTACCTTATCTTAATGTCAGAAGGGAAAAAAAATCTGAAAAATAAATAAATATATATGCTGTTAAAATTTATCCACCTTATCCCCTAACGGTTAGAATTTTTTCTTTTGGTGGGCTTTATTAATTAATTATATTTTAATATTTGAAAATATTCATGTTAATAATATTTCAATTCAGTTAATTATTTAATTAAGTACATTGTGATCATATTATATTTTGACTGGCATATGATAAGATTGGGCCTCGTTGGAAAATAGTATAGATATTTTAGTGTAATCCTGATTTCCATGGGAGGGATAAATTAAAGTGGAAACAAACTCTTTTGATTAGGGTTTTCTAGTTAGGTTCCCTTTCTAATTCTATTCAGTATGAGATTTGAGTTTGTGTGTCGTTTGTGCTGCCATTGTAAAGGTTGCCACGAACAATAGACAATAGACTCTAGCATCAAGTTTTCTTATTTCCCCCGATTTTGTGATGGTCTACCAAGGTACGCACATTATTAGAGTTTGAGAGAGAGGAAAGAAAGAGAAGAGAGTGAAAGCCATTATAATATGATATTACTAATGTGTACAGTGAAGATATACAATGGAGCTCTGTATAAGAGCGAAAGGCCCACTTAGAGGCTTACACGGCTCTAACTAAACCACTTAACAGAATAACAAACAGCAAAACAAAAAAGGGAGATCAGATACTATACAACCAGAAATATAATATACTAAGTACATCAGACAAAGATAAAACAACCAAGCTGAAGCTTATATACTTTTATATACTCTAATACCCTCCCTCAAATTCAGCAGTGGTGAGAATCCAACACTCTGAGTTTGCTCCTTAACTTTGCAAAACGGACGGGAGACAGAGGCTTGGTAAGAGTGTATACAAGTTGAGTTATAGCTAGAATGTGATAAACAAGAAGTTCTTTGCGAATAACATGCTCACGAACAAAGAAAATGTCAAGCTCCATGTGTTTGGTGCGAGCACGGAGCATTGAATTGTGAGAAAGAGCATCAGTGCTCATGTTACCACAGAACACCCGAGGTGTAGCAAGGGAAATCTGAAGCTCCTGATCGAAGTAAGGATCTTATCCAAAGAATCTCAGCACAAGTAGTGGCCAGGCTCCTATACTCAGCCTCAATGCTTGAACAACCTACCAAAGTTTGTTTCTTTGACCACCAAGACACTAGATTTGGTCCTAGGAATAAGCAAGCTCCAGAAGTTAAACTTCTATCATCAGGATCACTAGCTTAGTCAGCATCACAAAAGAGAGTAAGAGTGAAAGAACTGGACGAGGCTATTGCTTGAAGAAAAAGATCATAGGAGATAGTTCCTTTAAGATACCTAGGGATTTTCTTTACAACCAGCCAGTGTTCCTCAAGCGGTTGGGCCATAAACTGACACACTATATTTACTGCATAGCTTATCTCTGGTCTAGTAATTGTAGCATATTGTAGAGCACCAACTATGGAGCGATAATAATGAGGATTAGCAAAATAAGTGGAACCATACTTGGAAAGTTTGCAACCTAAAGCCATTGGTGAAGATATGCTTTTAGCTTCATGCATTGATGCTCTAATGAGGAGATCTTGGATATACTTAGACTGACAGAAAGTCATACCACCAGACAAATGCTTCTTTCCTTCAACATCAAGAAAATATTCTAATTCTCCCAATTCTTTCAATGCAAATTGAGAATTAAGATGAGATATTAGGTGCTGAATATACCGAGAATCAGTTCCTGTAATGATGATGTCATCTACATACTCAAGTATGTAGATATTTCTAGAAGCAGTCTTCACAATAAACAACGACGGATCATAACTACTGGGATTGAAATGAAAAGAAAGCATTGCACTCTTTAATTTATCAAACCAAACTCTAGGGGCCTGTTTAAGGCCATAAAGAGCTTTATTTAATCTGCAAACAAGGCTTTTATTTGCGTCCTCAAAACCAGGAGGTTGAGCTATGAAAACTTCCTTCTCTAAATCTCCATTGAGAAATGCATTATTTATATCCAATTGTCGCAGTACCCAACCACTGGTTAAGGCCAATGTTAACATAATTCTAACTGTAACAGGCCTGACAACAGGGTTGAAGGCCTCGTTGTAGTCAAAACCAGTTTGTTAGTGAAAATCTTTGGCTACCAACCTTGATTTGTACTTCTTAACAGACCCATATGGATTTTCTTTGATCCGAAAGACCCATTTGTAGCCTATAGCTTTCCTGTTAGGAGGTAAATCAACAAGAGTTCAAGTATTATTAGTCAACAAGGCATTAAACTCTGATTACATAGCTTCAAGCCAAGGAGGGCTTGCTAAGGCTTGTTTGGCAGAAGATGGTTCAACATGAGTGAGAAGAGCTAATTGTAACATCCCTGTCTCGAGCCGGTTCAATTAACATACACATGATATAAACAGAAACAGCGGAAGACTTAATTTACGAAAATACGAGCTAACTTTTTCTTTTTCTTTTTAATTCTCATTCGACGTAAACGAAAATCGGGCAGGGTTTCCTTTATAAATCGGACAACTGGGGATTTTCCAATCCCACACAAAAGCATTTCTTGATAAACAGTTTATACAGCACATCAATCCAGAAGTACCAGTCATGCAGATATAATCAGATACCCATCCATGGGCACATGCATAACTTGGTTCAGTGCCGCTAATCTAACAGCATGCAATCCAATACATAAACATAACTGAATACTACATCATCATATAACGTGCCTGAATACTCAAATGTACATGCATCAAACTGACAGACATGTACAAAACATATACAGGCCATATACAAAATAAAAGATCAATGTCATGATCCATCAAAGGCGGAAATACAAAATGACATGAATATACTTCCAAAAAGTAGTAGCCTACAGCCACTCAAAATCCGATCTGTCAACTGCCTCAGCCACGTGTCGCGTCCCTGCCTAGTAAGGTTTCACCGGGAATCTGGGCACCTGAAAATATGTCCCCAACGAGGGGTGAGATTACAAATCTCAATAAGCTCCAGGTTTATAGAGAATTCTCCATACCCCTGGCTCACTCCTGCACAAAAGTCAGATACAGAGCATACAATGTACATATAACAGATATCATTACTGGACAGAGCATATAACATATATTACAGAGGCGTACGTAGTCATTCCCAAGGGAGGACCCCAAGCGGAAATCAACGCACGTGGGGGGTGGGGGGCACTAAAGTGCTATTGCTATAAATATATGGAAAAATTTTCTTTTGTAATTCTTTCATATTTTGTTGTACACCATCAGTCCCGAGGGAGGACCCCAAAGCGGACATCCGGGTACTATACAATCAATGGCCAGAGATTGTTACAGAAATCATATTATAGAAGTCATATCAGAGCAAAACATATCATGTTATCAAATAACTCTATATGAATGCATCTATACAAAGCATCTAAATAACAGTCATACAGTCCAACCATAGTTCACTAACCATGGTGGAGCACTCAAGTATGAAAAGACTCCTTAAACATAGAGCTTACCTATTGAAGCTTTACCAATACCCTTACTTGTTGCACAAATTATTTATATCACTTCAATAGAATTCCACTCCTTTTCAATCCCTAGGCACACCTAGAGAAGAATTTACAATAAAATCAATAAAATGATACTATGCCATGATCCTTTCACACAACATACATTTTATCGCTTATTTTCATTTCTTTGCATTTTTGCCAATCCTATGCCAATACACAAGTCTAGACCTCTTTATAACTGTTGGTGTTCTTTAATTTAATCAACCATTCCCTTAGGATTTTTCAACATAAATCATGCTATTTTTCTTCAAAACTCATCACTTTTATACAATTTATTATAACACATTTTATTTAAAATAAAATGTACAAAATATATCCCTAAATACCCTATAGGTTGAATCCTATAAGGGGAATTTCCAAAGGTCCTTCTCTTTTACAATACATTTTCTTCACTTACATTACAACTTGCACACACATATGCATGTATCCACAAGGTTCCAATTTAAGTTTAGACATCAAGTCCTTTTCAACCCATCAAGGCCGACATGTAGGGGGTATGACCCTTAGTGCTTTCTTTTTAATAGGCATTCTTACTAACTCATCTATTTTCACTCATTTCCAACACATTACACCTTCACAATACTCAATATAATTTTTTGCACAATAACCCCTACACCCTCCATGAAGGCCGAATGCTAAAGGGTCCACTCCATGGATTTTTTTCAATTTTTATACTTATACAAAAGCTTAGTTAACATGCCTATATCCTAGAACATCCATAATACTTCATAAAATTTCCAATTTTAGCTACTTTATTTCCACTCAATCATAGTCATAATTTTCAAAACATAAACCACAAGACTAAAATCATAAGGTTAGAGTTTTGTTACCTCTAATCAACTACCCAAAGCCTAGAGGACATCCACCAAGCAAAACTCCATTTCTCCCCTTTGATGAATAGTAGCTCGAATTTGGGGGAGAGAATAACTCTTCACACACTCAACAACAGCTCAAATTGATGGGTGGAATGGCTTCATTGGGTGGTTTACAAGCAATTTCATGTGGTGGGTCTTTGAATTTGGAGTGTAGATGATGGAGAATCAAGAAAACAAAATTCAAAACCCTACCCCCCCCCCCCTTCTCCAAAGTGCAGCTCGGTTTTGAGAGTGAGGAGAGGAGAGAGATGCTGATGTGAATAGTGATTACTTAGGTCACTTATGTTTTATAAGCACATGTGGCTTTTACCCGGGTATTTTTCTTTCGCGTATTTTAACTTAAACTAACCCGGAACCAACTTAAAGCTACAAACATATTTTTATTTTTCTAAAATCATTTACATTAATTTTTATTTTCTTAAGGAACAATATTCATAATTCACAGT